CTATTAATGGGCGTACTCTCTCGTGTTCCTAATTGGACCGCGTAATCTGTAATTAGACGGCGGGCTGTCGCGACGTGAAATAAAGCTGCTTCGCCGCTTTAATAAATAGCCACTTCGTTTTCGTTGGCTCGTCTCGGATTTCCATTGATTTTCGAACACATTCTTCGACAGTCATAGGCGGTCATTCGGCTGTGCACTTTTCTGCACATGAATTGATATTTCATTCCCTTTGTACAATTGTTGAAACAGTCTCGAATAATTTCTTTTCATCTCACTCGACTGCACTCTTTTCGTTTCGTTTCATTTTTCACTTCGATCACAATTTTATTCTTCATTGTATACACTGTTTGTTAAAAAGATCGCAACATTTAGGAATTGGGGTCAAATTTGAAAATCGTGAAAATGAAATTTTGGAGATATTGTGGAGTTGTTGTGTGCTAATTTGGAAAGTTCAGATTCGATTGAAAGAGTCGGCACGACACGATTTCCAAGATGTAATTTTCTTTTATTATAGGCGGACAATATTATTGCACGGGAATATTATTTAGGCGCGACAGCATTAAACTTCGCAGATGATGTAAGACGAAAAGTTTGATAAATTTCTTTTATCAAACTTTACATATGTATGTATGTACATATGTATGTATGTGTATATTTACTCGCGTGTCGATCTCGAGAGAGAGCTTCGCAGCTGCCAGAAATCTAGCATACGCTTCTCGGCTTATCAATCATCCTTTGCACCGTGATACGCGCATTAATTTTACAAATTCACCAAGTTCCCGCAGACCGTGATCGATTGCGCACGATTGTCAAGCATCACTTAAAATCCCCATGTTAAAATCAACTCGGAGATTTTCTACCATCATTGCACCCTGATTAAAGATTACTACGATTACTGACTCGCAAATTATCCTCACGCTTCTTGTAAATTTCGAATAACGAACATGATTGCCAGAGAAATTATTTCAACGAAATATGTGGATGAAAAAAATTCTGTCGAAGTCTGAAAATCTGAAAACACGATGTTTCACGTCAATCTGATGTATAATTGTATTTCATTATCATCATTTTTTATTATTATTATCGTCATTATTATTAACAACGGTTCTATTATGATTATTTCACGGCGCATAAGAATCCCAGTGTTACATCGCGTATACACGGGGGACAAGTTTGTAATGGGGTACGATCAAAGTGCTATTGAAGTAAATGCGCGATTGCACGTTCCATATTACTTGGGAAGCTCTTTCGCTCAGCTCTTCCGAAAACTTCGCGAACCAACGAACGAATGAACGTTTTGAAGTTTCGGATTGCAGTTTCGGAGTGAACTCACTTTCAGGGTTCATCCCGATCGCTTATCGATGAAACACGGGGAGGGAGGGTTCCAGGTTTTCTCCAACTGAGACGCGGCGACACATATTGGAAACGTTTGTCGCTCGAAGGAAATATCGACGAATTGATTTTTCGCCTAACGATAACTCCACGCCATTTCGGTTTTAATCTCTAAACATTTAAAGCGACGTCGTCGATTTTTATTGACGATTTTGTATCCAACGAGACACGCGCGCATTTATTTCTGATTTCCTGTGCAAACATTTCCTTTATTGTTAATGTGGCCAACGCGAATATTCATTTTGTCATTAATTTTATATTATACTACAGGAAAGTATTTTTGGGACAGAAATTGAATAATTATGGAAGAGTTTGTATTTCGAAGGCAGAGGTGATAGAATTGTCCTAATCAAATATGTAATATATTGTCGTGGTGGAATGATTCCAAACTCTTTTAATTTAATTATATTAATGCAGAGAAGAGACACTGAGTTTCACGAAACACGCTTTTTTTTTCTCGTCGATAAATCGTTCAAATTAATTTGAAAACAATTCCTCCCCGAGCAAACGTATCGTTTCCCACGTAGAATCGATGAAACGATTTTATCATTTCTGCCATCATTATCTTTTGTTTGTACACTCGGAAGATATTTGAGGTATTGAAAGTTTTTCGCTTGCTTTCGATGTTTACTCGCCATCGACTTCGCCTCTCCTTTCTTTGCACAACCTCCTGCTTTTGTCCATTATTGCTTTTAATTCAGATACCGCGGGAACTAATTTTTACTTCAGTTTCGATTCATGTACTCACGTAAGAAACAATTGTTTCAACTAATTGTAATTTTCGAACGCGAATATCTTTATATTTTAATTTTCTGATAATAAAATATATATATAATTATTTATTATATACTCATATATAATTATACTCTCATATATAATTATTTACTATATACTTGTAATAATAAAAAAGTTATTAAATAATTATTAGAGCCCAGTAGTAAAAGAATTTAATTATTAATGAATTGCTAGAGAAATTGTTAGAATTAAAAAATTAAATTACTAAATAATTACTAAATTACCAACACCTAATAATAAATTTTCTAAGATAGATACATTAATACGTGAATCGCATTATTTTAATTGTATCAGCTTAATTCATAACACTGTGGCACGTGTAATTCCCTACGAATAGTCGTCGATTAATAATTTTCGCTTTACGTAACATTCATTGCCACACTTTATAATTGGGTCGGCATAATTCATCTTGGTTGGCGGAAAGAGCGAGTAAACATTGAAACTTCAACGAACAGCGAGTTTCTCGAGAACTGGACGAAATTTTTAATTTCGATAAGTTAGATACAATGCAGCTTTTTGTCTCCAGTTCTCCTAGTATTTTAATGTACTTTGGAATATTCATAATTAAATTAAATAATTAAATTAAATATAATTTTAATTAAATATATAATAATTTAATTAAAATTGAATTCAGATACAAAATTGAAAATAAAATATACAGAACTGCATGGAACATTGAATTATGTACTTTCTATATCTTTATTTATCTTTATAGTTGAGTAGATCAGAACTAAACGTTCATGGAAAATTCTATACTGTCACACGATATATATTAATATTTTGTGCTTCGCTTTAATTAAATTGCTTTACTTTTATAGATTGCCTTCATATTAATGAATAAATGATCAATTGGAACTTTGATAAAAACAATTTCTTGCAAATTCTGATACTCAATTCGAACGACAATTCAAATTTGCAATTGGCAGGCGAGCGATTGGCGCCACTGTGCTCTCGTAATATACACCTATCCATTTTTATGTATTATTTAAATTAAATTGTTTTATTTTATACATTGCTCCTACAGTATATAAATAAAAAATTAATCGGAGCAATAATCGTCCACAACAATGACTACTTATAGTTTCCTAGTTTCCCTTTGAAATTGTGAAATTCAATTTCAAATGTGAAATTGCGTGGATTGACGCCACTGTGCTCTTGTAATATACACCTATCCATTTTTACGTATTATTTTAATTAAATTGTTTTATTCTTATACATTGCTCCTACAGTGATAAATAAAAAATTAATCGGAGCAATAATCGTCCACAACAACGATTATTTATAGTTTTCTAGTTTCCTTCGAAATAGCGAAATTCAATTTCAAATGTTGAAATTACGAAGGTTGGCGCCATTTTAGTTCCATCCTACACCGAGGGCGGCGCGATGATCAGTTCCCCTGCGGCAGGCATTCGTCGTATTTCGCGCGCGGTCGACGCTGTCGCATTTTCGCGGTTTTTTTAGTGTAAATTGTTCGGTTTTTGTGTCCAGTGTGTCACCCGTGGATCGCAGAAGGACTCGTCTTCACTATATATCACGGTGCCACCAGGTAAATCATTTATTTATCTCTTAATTTAGAGTTACGTGTCAACTGCGACGCTACACGTAGTAAGCTCCCTCGCTTATCCCCTACAGTTTGAAAAATGACACGTCATAATTGCAGTTGTAATAAATCATAACAGTGAATTACGTAGAAGATTCGTAAGTATATATCGACAATGTCGTCGTAAATAAATATAAAATATAAAGATAAACGAATGTGTCGAGTTTGACAAACGCGTATGGCAGCTCCGAAATGCGTAATAGAAATATACGTTGAAACTTTCGAACGTTACGTATCCCGTTGTGCGCAGAAGTGTTGCGCACTCCATCTTATACGTTCGTATATGTGATACGTAAAACAAGTTAACTTTTGCAAAATATTTATTTACGAGAGCAAAAGTTTTCAATTGTGTGTGACTGTGGATCTTTGATTCAATCTGAAATTTGTAATTAATATTAATAATCGTTACAATAGGTTAATATAAATTCAAAGAGCAGTGGTGTAAATGGCGAACAATTTCGAGGAAACAATTCAAGAAAAAATGGCAAACGATTCTAGATGATTCGAGAAAACCGTTGGTAAGTTATATTTTATATTAGAACGAAAATGAAATTTATGTGCTTTCCAACACATTAAATCTTTCAACACTGTGCCCGAACCGAGTTGATTTGAACTGATAATGAGATAAGTATTTAATAATTTAATATCTAATTTACATACTATTAATAATATAAATATCTAATCTAATAAAATTCATGCATTATGTACGTGCTTGAATCTTTTTCATAAATGCATAAGCAACCATAATTTACACAAATCATGATATTTGAAAGTAAACATTTCCTTTTCCATTTTATTTGCAGAAACTTTCCTAACCTATTACAAGCAGAAAGCAGAAACGAAGGTAATAAAATTTAGTTTATTATACCTTAAATATCTTAGTGTCTTTTTAATTTTACACCACACTCACAATGTTTAATTTCATTGTAAAACAACCAGTCGCAAATAGCTCAATACAACACAAAAATTCAACAACTCTTCTACAATGAGTGCTGTCTCTGTCTCTTAGGTTAGATAGAAGAGATTATCAGTTAATTGTAATAATAAAATTGTACAAACATTGTGTAATTTTCAAGTTATACGTTAAATTCTAGTTACAAAAGGGTTAATTGCCTCTTATAGACAATCCAATCACGAACACTTTGGTACAATAAATCACCTACAATCCTTCGTACAACCCTTCTCACGATTAATTCTCCCCTGTTTTGCAGAACATGTGATACCAATCGCGCAAGATCGACGTTGGATCCTTGTCGTTGGATTAAATATCAAATTGCATCGGGTGCCGCCTGTCTACAGGTGCAAGGTAGCACGCGCGGATCGCCACAACGTGAAGCTCTCCCTCGTAAGTTGGTGTTGGTTGGTGTCGGTGCGACACAGGGGCCAAGGGTTCTAAGGGGGTTGATGCGTCGGCGTGTTGCGCCGTAGCTTTTGCCGCGGCACCCGGCAGTCCGTAGGCGAAGTCCTAACGAGCAGCCGGCGAGCGGCCCGTTTCTCCGTGAAACTTCCTTGCGATTATATCGCGCCGAAGAGATTTTCGTGTTCGTGTTTTCTTTTTTTTTTTTATTCGAGTTCTCAGCCGCTCGGCTGGTTCTGCTCCTTAACTCGTCGCGTTCTCGTCGCGTTCGTCTCGATATTTCCTCGTAAGCACGTAAAGTAAGTCGCTGTTTGATCTTTGGAGTCGACAGATCGAGCAGATTGATCGATAAGTGAGACTCCATCTCGTATTTTATGAAACACACACACACATACATTCGTCGCAACAGAGATGGAAGGATGGTTGTAACGTCGATAAAGTACAAGTGAACGGTAAAGTGTGCGTATACTGTAGATGGGTACGAGGATGATTTTGATTAGGTGTGACAAGGATCTGTCGATCGTGTGGGAGACAGATTGCGAGTAAATTGTAAATCTATATATTGTTGTCACATGATAATCTGTGGAATGTATCAGTGAGGTACGATAGGTGTTTGGTGATTTTGAGAAAAAAGAAAAGTGTGGAATTCGTGATTCTCGATTGCTGGTCGAATCAAGGATTTCATATACGTGTAAGTTGAACCGAAATTCGAAATGTAATTGAAATTCTTGCAATTGAAATTGAAACAGGAAGGGATGTAATTGTTCTGTCAAATCAATTTGTTGAGTAATCTCTCTGGAGAGACGTCGAACGTTTCCATAAGTCGTTTTCGAATTATTTCAAACTTGTTTCATTATTGCAAGACCTTCGTTAAATAAATTAAGAAATTCTCTAGTTGTCTCTATAATTCTCTCTCGAGTTTTCGTTGTTTATAAATGTGACAGTTTTATTTTCTTACAGTGAGAGATAATGAATCTTAATAATAATTTTAAAATATTATATATAGAAAAAGTTGACGTTAAATTTGACGTATAAAGTTAATTATCGTTTAGGCAAAATGTAAGTTCCCTTTTTGTCATGCAACTTCTTTTGAGTTAAGTAGGTTAAGTGTTCTTCTTTCTAATTCATTATAGTTATTTTCTCATAATTTGAGATACTTTTAATAATTGACTTGTTAATTTTTTTCAACTCATGACCGAATTGCAGTGAGAAAAGAATTTGGAGAAATCGTTGCAATCGTGGAATGCCTGGATAAAACTTCCAATAAATTTGTAGATGAAACTTGCCCTGTTCCTCAGCTTATTATACAGTCGAACATAAACGCTTTAAAATAAAAACTTGTTTAATTTTAACATAAAATTTGTCATTTTAATGTCTATTTGTAATTCGTCAGAATCTTCCTAAAAATACTTTTCGAAGCTACGTCACGATTAAATGCAAATTCCCTGACATCTTGACCCAATACCACCATATTTCGGCATTCCTCGTGTCAGTAGGTTCGGAGACGTCGTTGCTCGATAATAATTGACGTTCATTATAAACTTCGATGGCCGCAAAACTGGGACGTAGCCAGTCCAACGGTCCGTGACGTTGCCTTGATTCGTGGTTTGTGCACGAGGAAAATGGGAAAGGCAAAATAGCGGATGGGGGAAAAAAAAAAAGCGCGTCGCGTAGAACAGGATGGAGTCGAGGGAAAATAAAGGGGCGGAGGGGGCGCACGGGGGAAAAGAGCGGACCCGGAAAACCGAGAAACAGCGAACAATACCAATTGCGACAAATTACACGTTGCTTTATCCGGTAACGCCGGTTCGCGATTAAAAGGGGAACACGGGACGACGTTCGCATGGAACACTACGAACCGCGTGATTCACCGCATTTTCTCTTTCCCTTTCTCCTTTCTTCTCATCCTCTTCTTCTTTTAGTTTCTCTGTTTCCGAGTTTGTGATTTTTTTTTTTTTTTTTTTTTTGATTTATTAAAAGGGGGAGGGGGGATCGGGAAATTATCGTTCGATTTTCACTTCGCTGGAAGTGGAAGTTTAATTAATGCTGAGGGCTCGTTCGACTCTCTGTTTCTATTTGTTTCTTCGTTTGCAATCTGTTTGGACCCGTTGACCGAGGGAGAAATGATCGAACTGAACAGTCGTAGTTTTCTTCGATTCGAATCGAAACTTTCAGGTCTCTCTCGATTTGCTCCATTTTTTTATTTCCTCCATTTTTATTGTCATTCCGGCTGAAAATTCTCGACGTTTCACCGATGAAAATTTGATTGAAGCGTTTGTTGGAAACTCTCTCTTTCTTCATCTTTTCTTTCTCGTTTCTTCGTTTGCGAGCTCCGATCCACCGATCGGCGGAAAAAAATTACCATTTTACGCGAGAGTTGTTGGAGTTTCTCAATGAAAATTTCATCGACACGTTGTTTGAAACTTGTCGGTCCTCTTCTTTCTTATTTCTTGTGTTCTTCCTTCCTTCCTTCCTGGTTTGTAACTTTTAAATTTTCGAAATTAATTCATCGTTTACCATTTGGTTTTACTCTATCTCTCTCTCTCTCTGTCAGATATTTCTGGTTAGGAATGAATCGAAATCAGAAATTGTCCTCCGGCCAGAAGTTATCGAGGTTTTTCTCTCCCCCGTGGAAATTTAATTAACGCGTTGTTTGGAGTTCATTGGTCTGAGTTTTTTCTTTTTTTCGGTGAACCAAGGAAGTTGGATTGAAGCGGGATCAAACGAAGGGCGGGACTCGTGATTGCTATTGCCCGAACACCGCAACGTGTTCTTGATTCGCCGAGAAGAATCGCCGTTTCGTGATTAAATTACAAACAAGTTCCTCCGAAGTTAACGTCTCGTTATAGCAATATTGGAATATTGGATAGCCAGCGAGCTGTCCAAATTTTTGTCGAAACTGTTAACGGGAGAATTAGAGGTTCGATCGAGTTTCACTTTCTACTAACTGCCATAGGGAAGTTTGCGCTTTCGTATCGAAACATTCGAACATATATATATATATATATATATATATATATATATATATATGGTTGTATCCTGATGGCGTCCATTAGTGGACATTCACTCTAAATACTGAAATCAACTTGGACCATCTAATTCTCGAGAAACTTTCATTTCTTATTCTGCAGGCATACTTTTTTTTTTTTTCGCTCGAGCGCACTTACGTTTTAATATCAAATAATTAATCATCGAGACTTCGATTTCATTTCGCAAAACTTCGATGTTTTTTCGATTTAAACGCGCTGCATTTTTATTTTCCTTTTCTTTCTCTCATTGAACTCTGTACATTTTTTAAAGTGAGAAAGTTATCTCTCATTTCTAAATTATACGAGCGAACGAAATTTTCGTTCAATACGTACGATTTCGCGACAAGGCGAATCTGTCGCGACGGCGGACACTTTTCGCCGTCGAAATCGACGGTAAACTGAGATTAAACAAATCCAGATTCCTTTTAACGACTGTCGCTTTTCATTAATAGCAAGCACACGCGCGAGATATCGGATCTAGAATTTACTCCCGTATTTCGTATTTTTTTTTTCCATTTTCCATTTTCCCCCGTTGATAGAAACACTTCGAACATACGTGATTGCTTGCAATCACGTATCTATCCTTTTTCCTTTTTTTTTTCTTTTTTTTTATATTGATTTTCAGTTTGGAACACGGATGGGGTGAGGTGGAGGGTATCGTTTTTATTGGAATACTTCGATGGAAATACGATTCTTCCTTGCCTGTCGGTGATTGCCGAGTGTCGATTTTAATTCCGCTTCCACAGATACATGTTTACAAAACGTTTTTCAATTCACGTTCAATTATTCTCGGGCGAGAGACGGTCTTTATAAGAAAATCCCGTCGAAAAATTGCCGATTCCACGGTCTCGTTTAAGAACAATCTAAACGCGGAGTTATTTCTGAAAGATTTCGTATTAAATGACTCTAGCTAACAAGATACGAATTTGACGAGAAGTCTTTGTTACGAATCATCATCGATATTAACTTTTCCTTGGTTTTATTCGGGAATAGTTTTAATAAAGTTATTTCGGAAAATTTCGTATGAAATATATATATATATATACTTGTACATTCTTATTAATAGGAGTATATGCTCTTACATACAAATTTGGCAACAAGTCTTTATGTTAAATCATTGTGAATTACGAGTGATCATCGATATTAATTTTCCCTTGGTCTCGTTTAAGAACGATTTAACGTGAAATTATTTTGGGAAATTATTTTTAATTTCATATGAAATTATCAATAAGAGTGCATATTCTTTCTTGCGAATTTGGCAAGAAATCATTACGTTAAATCATCGTTAATTTATTTTTAGTGAAAAAGAATTTTCCATGCAAATGTACAGTGTGCTTTATAATATTATTCAAGGAATTGTTACGCTGTTATTTGAAATATTTCACGTGTAACGCATAATGTAACATGCCCATAAGCTTTCCCCACAAAACGTTCGAACACTTTCGTAAACTGTTACATGTACGGGAGCGATAAGAAAAATGGACGATTTCTGGTTGGATACCGATTGGAAAGCGGTTTAATTCCACTGTATTCGATCGGCTCTCTCTCTCTCTTTCTCTCTCTCTCTCGCGCGCGCAACGCGATATCGTTTCGGAACGATACGGAGATCGTGTCGACACGTGTGCCGTGTTACGTCCAGTCGTACTTGTAATCCGGCAACGAAGCCGGCGTTTCGCGAAATTTATATGATCCGCGGAAGATTTCTCCTAATCTCGCTGTGTCCCCGGGCTTGTTTCGATATACACGCGGGCTATTTTCCACCACTGTCACCCCGCACAAGCGGACAGAGATTTGTGCACAACACACAAATGAGAAAACGAAAATCGAATCGGTGGCTTTCGAACTGTACGATTCCGCGATCGATAGCTTGATAATTGAAGGCAGCAAGGGGTAGAAAAAATATTTGTCGATTTGGTCGATTTGTTCTATAAAAATTGGAACTGATGGTCCCGTAGTCTGGCGATTTCGCCGCTTGTTGATCCAGACGCGAATTGTCCCTATATTAGCTTGCATTGAATAGCTATAATGTTAGGTTGACAGTTAGATGTTATAAATTCTTTTGTTGAGGAGAAATCCTCCATAGTTTTTTGCTGCAGTCGGTTTACATAGTTAGTAATTTAGTTAAATAGAACGTTTGATAGTTAGTAATTCATTACAGAGGTTTCAATGATTTTTCTTTAAATCTATAGAGTGACTCTTATATTAATAGGTTTAATTAATTCGTTTAATTAATAGCGTTGATATCGTTCATATTGTAATGTTTTATGTTAGTAAAATTATAAAGTTAATGTTATCGTTTAGTAACATCAATATTCCAACAATTTTTGTTGAATAGGAGAAATTCTCCATAGTTCTTTTGCTGCAGTCGTTTTACATAGTTAGTAATTCATTTAGTTAATAATTTAGTTAAATAGAACGTTTTATAGTTAGTAATTCATTACAGAGGTTTCAATGATTTTTCTTTAAATCTATAGAGTGACTCTTATATTAATAGGTTTAATTAATTCGTTTAATTAATAGCGTTGATATCGTTCATATTGTAATGTTTTATGTTAGTAAAANTTTATGTTAGTAAAATTATAAAGTTAATGTTATCGTTTAGTAACATCAATATTCCAACAATTTTTGTTGAATAGGAAAAATTCTCCATAGTTCTTTTGCTGCAGTCGTTTTACATAGTTAGTAATTTAGTTAATAATTTAGTTAAATAAAACGTTTTATAGTTAGTAATTCATTACAGAGGTTTCAATGATTTTTCTTTAAATCTATAGAGTGACTCTTATATTAATAGGTTTAATTAATTCGTTTAATTAATAGGGTTGATATCGTTCATACTGTAATATTTTAATCGTTTAGTAACATTAACAGTCCAACAATTTTTGTTGAATAGGAGAAATCCTCCACAGTTTTTTTGCTGCAGTCTACATAGCAGTTTACATAGTTAGTAATTTAGTTAAATAGAATATTACAGCGATATCAATGATTTTTCTTTAAATCTATATTGACTCTTATATTAATAGGTTTAATTAATTAGTTTAATTAATAGATTAATGTTGTAATAATATTATATATTATGATATTATATAATATGTTACTAATATCATATTACTACATTATAATATTATAATATATTGTAATAATATATAATATATAATGTTGTTATAATATAATAGTTAATAGTGTAATGTTTTAATCATTTAGTAACATTAATGTTCTAACGTTCCTAAATTCCATTCGAGAACTTTAAAGGCGTTCTTGAGAATATTTGCCCGATAAATTGAGAGATCAATAATAACAATCACGAGCACGCGTGTGCAACGTTCATTCGCGAATATCGATATTAATAATTTCTAAATTCGATTTGCCGTCTTACTTCTATATTTTATAAAAGCTTAATGACACTCGGGGAAACAGGATGGCACGATCGGTCGTTCCCTATTTTTCATGCATTACGCGCATATACATATATGTGCATGCGCATGTATGCATGTATGCATATCCATGTTTCAAGCATTCCTGAATTCACGATTGTTCTTTCACATTCTCATCACGCTGGATTCAATTTATTCATGCAACAGACAGCATAATCATTTCTCTGGTTTGCATTATTCTTGCTCTGTCTTTCGTGACCCTTGATATCGGTCTGAATTTCAACGAATTGTCGCGTTAAGCGACAGCAATTTAGACGAGAGAGATAGCTCCCTTCAAAATTAAACGTGAAAAATATTTATGTACAATATTTCATTGAACGGACAAATTTTACACGCTTACAATTTAACTTGAATTGGCAAAGTTCGATCGTGACAAGTGTGAAATTTCTTCGTACACTGTCGCTTGAAACGTACGTGGACACTTATCGTAATTGTCAGAAGCAAGAGTGTGGAGGATCTAACAACACATTCGTACACGTTTAGCGAATTTTACTGAAAAAAATCAGATCTAAAGTTTTAAACTCACGCCAAGAGAAGTTCGCTGAGAAGAAACACAGATTTCTCCGACAATATTTCATCGACTCCAGGTTTGCCCGACAGCGACTTTGCCCGACAACAGTTTCTATCGACAATAACATTGACCGACAACAACATTGGCAAATTTGCGTCAGACGATGCCTCAGTTTGCGTTCGGCTGTGGTCTTCACTGCTACTAGCGTATCGAATCGAGTTATAATCAGTCTTATTGTTAGTGAAAATATGTACAAAAATGTCTCATATCCAGAAAATGATGGTTCTGTTATTCCTAAACCTGAAGCTAAACCTTGCGTTATCATTAGAAAAACAATGATGAACAAATATCATAATAATATCGTCGGCGAAAACTGTTGTCGGGCAAATCCGGTGTCGATGATTTCAATGTGACCGCCGTGGAAATACTATTATATTTGTAGTTCGCTGAGAAACGATAGTGCTCGTACGTTCGAACGACAGTGTACATAGACACACGGGGACGAGACGTGAGAGTAAGTCGGCTGGCGACGGATGGGCTAACAAATCCAATCGCAGCGCGATAATTCGCGATCGAGTTAAGCGTGTCCAAGTGCTACAGAACGTGATGTTTCCAGGTGTCGTCATCGCGTCATCGTGCCAGGTTTAACGAGGCGCAGTTAACGCCGGGCATCGTTAGGGAGGTTGGAAACGCAAGTGGACTGGCTGCACCCTGCAGCTCCCGGAATCCTCGAAATTATCGCTACCCGCGATTCACAGCAACCGCCTCCCGACTGTGTAGTGAGAAATAGTGTGCACCGCCGCCTCGTATCTGAACGGTCGTCTCCTCCTCCTCGATCGTCTCTCCACACTACCGCCGAGAGAGAGAGACAGAGAGAGAGAGAACCATCGCGTGCGCGTTTCGCGAAACCAGAGAGAGTGAGTGAGTTAGTTTGCTTAAAAGTGACGATTTCTCGCGTGTGAATATGGGCTGTTAGCGGGGGAAGCTGGTGCCACAGTCCATTCCTTCCGGAAACGATCGCGGTGAGATACTGTCGCGGGGAAGAGGAACGAAGTCAAGAGGAAGAAGGAGGAACGAGGCGTGGGCAGATTCGAGCAGAGAACGGTGAGTCTTTATTTGACGATGATTAATAACTATGTGGACAACTAGATTGCGGATTTTTATGTGGTTTTCGTTTATGTTGAATGTCATCATTTAGTATTGAACATATTAAATCTATCAAATATTACATATGTATAATATTATATAGATTTTATTACATACATATATATATAATATTACATATATTTATGTTAAGTATTACATTAATATTAAATTATATTTATATTAATAATTATGTTATACTATAATATTTATATTAATATTAAATTATATTTATATTAATAATTATATTATACTATAATATTTATATTAATATTAAATTATATTTGTATTCATATTTATATTATATTATAATATTTATTATAGTAATATTTATAGTATTATAGTAATATTTATTATATTATAATATTTTATATTAATAATTATATTATATTTATATTAAATATTATATATGAATATTGATCATAATTGATAGTTCGAGATGGCTCACTGCAGTATTAAATGCTGCGAGTGTTGTTTAATTTTTATGCAATTATTGTTTGTGTAATCCGCAGTCTAGTGATATATGGGATACACCTTGTTAATTATGATAATGATGGTATATGCTAAAATCGTTATTATCGGGTAACATTTTTACCCGTTCAGAATATTCTGTATATTCATTGATATTACGATTAAGTTTCGTATTTTGTGCTTGTAACGTATGTGAATTTTCCTTCACGAAACCGCGTGATATATTTTACTGAATTTCTTTTCCTTTTAATAATTCATATATATATATATATATATATATTTATTTATTTATTTTATTTTAATGTAACGCTTCTTCATAAAGGGAATACACGCGATTATTTTATAAAGAAACTTCCAAGAAATTTCAGTGTCACAGACAGGCAATACTTGCGAATTCTTTTTCATAAAAATCGTCGATAATCGTTCGGATTCAGACCAGAGAAATCAGATTTCGATCACGAAAGTTACTTCAATTGTTTATTACGACGTCTAAATCTCGATGGTTTCGACGATTTGCTAACAGATTCGCAACGCTCGAGGAATATTCGACGCGGACGTATCGGAATACAAATTGTCTCTGGAATAAAACTGGAACAATAATAATCGAAGATCGAAATCTGGCTGAGCCTCGGGTACCTTCGCATTCGGAACAATTACCCGGTTAGGATAGATGAACGTAGTAGCGGCCGCGCCACGTTCGGATACATTTGTTAGCGGTTCCTCCCGCGGATTCGATAATGCTGATTTACATATTTCCCGATAATACCGCATATTTCGACGTGCCGCGTTAGGGGTGTAATCATGCGTGTAATTCTCGTCCGTACGTTCAGCCAACGACGCTTATAATGGTAAGGTATTACCGAAAATCCGTCTTAAATCTCGTGTAATTAAATCTTGGATGTAGCCGGTATCATCGCTTCCTTCCCCCCTCCCCTCTTTTGGATATATCGATGCTCCAGATAACACGCCGGTTAGTTTGCTTATCTCGGGATAACAGTTCGGCTTTGTCGTGCATCTCAGTTTTGTTATGCGCGTCGTTGGCTACATTATCGAGCAAAAGCTCCCTCTCTCGCTTTTTCTCGTTCGTCGTGTTTGGCCAACTATCCACGCGGCGAATTTTCTTTGTCTCTTTCCGATTTGACCTTATTATTAAAATGGAAATTAGTCACTTGGACACTTTCGGGGGTCGCTTTTACGATCGACAGTCGAGCGATCGTGATTCAACACGAAGTGAATCTCGATAGACTATTTCTGTTAATTCTGGGAGAAGCGAATTTGCGAATTAATCCAATTCAGTGCCATTTATTGTGACTCTTTCTTTTCCCTTTCTGAATAATTTTAACGATGGCTGATTAAAAGCCATTCGAACGAGTTGCAAACGTTAACAATCGTGAGTGAAATGATCATTTTCTTCTCGAGGCAACGATGAACTCTGTCTATTCTTTTATCGAAATTTCTCTAAATTTCTCGCTTCGCGCAGAGAGCAACTCTTTCTTCTCGTCAATAAATGATTTCCTCCCACGTGGCGTTTCAAGTTTAAGTCTCAATAAAGTGCAAAATTAATCCACTTAAGAGCATCTACTTGTCACTGGTAATTGAACGAAGAGTGCGGATTGGAATTCGTTATTTCGACGACGTAACTCTACGATTGAGCTAAAGGACGCTAGTCGTAGATAATTCTGTGTATAAAGAATGAGGTGTTTGTCGAGCAAGAAACGACGATAAATTAGCTCTTTCGTAAATTCCTTGCAACTTGTACACCTTTATTCGTCGATCACTGTCTCCTCCTCAAATTCGTTGCAACTAGGTTAAATAACACCTGTGATTTTCACCTGAAACCTCACGATTAAATTAAATAGAAAATAATTAGAATTATAATAGATTGAATAATCAGAATAATAAGAATTAAATAGAAAATCGAGAATTACATTGTAATCAGAATTGAGATCGGTAAAGCACGAAGCAACGCGACTTTCTGAAAATAATTAATAGCGTTACGCTATAATTATTAAGGGGGCAAGACAGTGTGACGGGTTTAAATATTTCTACGTTTTTTGTTTATATCTTTCGAAATTGTTAAAAATTAAAAAAATGTTCGATCGTCAATCCCTAGTAAATGTTACACTAAAGATACGTGCCAAGTTTTCACAGTGAAAAGTTTTCACTAGTTTCGAGAAAAACGCGTTTTCAAAGTTTCAGAACGCCATTTTTCATATGTATTTCATTTACTTGCTTCTTTTACTTACATATCGCGGCTCACAGTTCTTACAATTCACAACTAAATTGAACCCTAAGTCAACAAGTCCCCTAATATTCGTTTCACCAAAAAGTAATATTTGAATCACACGATGTACACTTTGTGATATTGTTTAAAGTTGTAAAACAGCGATGTAAATTCAATTATTCCGTATTCCGCGGATCTATTTACTACACTCCAAAATAAGGCTAGGACCTTATCTTATTTCTAAGACTTCAAGCTACAATTTTAAAACAAAAGTCGATTTTTTGAAAATTTCACACTGTCCTGACCCGTTAAGCTCTTAATTATATGTACCTCTTAATTAAATAACTCCTCGCTCTAAACATAATAATTTGTAGCGCGTAATTCATTTGACGCGCGGGGCAATACAGCAAATGGACGGGTCGATGGGTTTCGCATTTCCGCGGAATTAGCCCGGCGCCGATTGTTTTTCCTCGTTCACAATCGTGGATCGCGGATTGTGCCCCTCTGCGCGGGAATCGCGATCAGAGAAACACGTAACACGTTCAGTTGCATCCAATTGAGGGGGCTGTTTATTTCGAAGCGGTTCGAACGATATTTCAGGTAATTGCTTTCCTCATAACACATTGCCGTGCGTGCCTTTATTCCCCTTCGAGGTTAATGGAGTAGCCGAGCAGCTGTACGAACCGATTCATTTCCCCCTTTGAGCGCGATCATCGCATTGATGCGAACGCGGACGCGTTCCGATATTCCTCGGGGTTTTTTCTTCTTCTTTTTTTTTTTTTTTTTTTGCAAAAAACACGCTCATATTCTGCCCGATATTTTTTGCCCCTATCGCGAGGGAAATGAGTTACTTTTCTTCTGTTTTCAATTTTTGATACTCCAGCTAGCTTGAAATTCTGTAAACGGTGAACGTTCGGCGAGAGTTTCGTTATTTGTCAAATCGTTGATAAGGTTTACGATTCGTCGGTGAATGATGTAATTAAAAATTGGCGAGCACACGTTCTCAAATGTTTGAAGTTTACTCTTCCGATTCGCCGGATTAATAAGTGATTGTCAGTATTGCAATTTTATTCACGATTCGCGACGAATTTTGAACCGTTCGAAAGAATCTTCGGGGGTTTCAAGAAAGTTCATAAATTTAATGGCACAATTTCAAGAACGCAACGTCCACTTTCGAAAACAGCGTTCAATACGTGAATTAACAGTTTCGAAAAATTTCATTGCTACACGTACTCTCGGAGTGTTTCGCTAAATACAGAGTATTTAGAAAAATCATTAAAAGTTCGCAGAGATATGTATAACTCCAGATCGATTTCTTAATTTCAACTCTGGCTGCGTCCACTGTTCTCCTTCGCCATTTCGTGACGTGCAAATTAGGAATTTTAAAGCGGTTACAAATATTCGATTAAATTTAGAAAAAAAAAAAAGAAAAAGGAAGAAAAGGATAAACTCGCCTTTCGAATGCATTAGCGCGAGGAAACGAGTATATATATACACACACACACACACACACATATATATATATATATATATATGCAAATACGTACAAGTAGTACGTGTGTTGAAGTGTACACGCGAACAGTTAGGAAAGCGGCTTAGCCTCTTCTAGAAAGAGTACCATGGCTGGGTAAGGTGGAAACGGGTCAAGGAGTCTCTGCATAAGAAAGTTAATTCCACGGCTGTCGCCGAGGATGCCTCGCAAAAACCACCCACTTTTCAAATGATAAATTACCGCTCGTTCTAAATTTTATTCCAACCGCTGGCCACTTTGTCGAAACGAACTTGCATTCGAACGATTCTTAAAGAAACAAAAATCTTTCATTTTCAAATTTTATTTCTTTATGTATATTTGCGATATCGAAGGAAAAAGACGTCATTTGTCATACTACGTGATATTCGTGGAAACTCGACAATGAGGATGCCTTTCTCTCTCGAAAATTTAAACGTCTCTAAATTGGCAATGGAAGTTTTTTTTCACCACCAGAGTTATTACGGTTTTGAAGATTGAAACTCGCTGTACAATTTTTTTCCTCGCCCTTCGTAATTTCATCGAACATTAGCGTTAAACGACAAAAATTCCAGAGAATTCTGAAATCTCGCCGGGTCCCGATGTAAGCCCTGTTTAAAGTTCAATGGACAACGTCGACAAAAAAAAAAAAAAAATCGTACAGCGAGTTTTAACGACTCGTTGTAAAGGGAAGACTTTAATCTTCCGGCCCGTGGTGGATCCAGTCGCGAGAAAAATTTCGGGAACAAAACCTCCGAG